AAAGACTTCATGACCACAGACGTTAGAGCCACAGGCCTGTAGTCGCATACCGTAGGCAACTACATCTTCACTCTGGGCGACTAAATGATGTCTAACATTAGCCATTGGCTAATAAATTATTAGATTTTACTTGCCAGTGTGAGAGTCGGAGGCTATGCAAAACTACTAACTGATTTCAAGTTTCCTGACACTCCCTCTGTCTGTCATTGGTTGGATAAACATGTAGCCCCGCCCCCAAACTTATGCTAATGTTGTTGTATCAGGCGATCAGGATGCTCACAAATACACATTGTCATATGAACATCACAGAATGCGAGTCTGATGTTAATTCAGTATCCATTCATCAAACTGATTCAAACTCGTGAGTCTTTTTCAAAGATTCATTCAAAATGGCTCAAATTAATCATTTGACACTAGAACACAACTAAATTCCAAAAAGTGTGTCTATTTATTGTCTTTGCAATCAATTTAGTCTGCAGGCTCACGACTCAGATGCAATGCGATTTTGTTTGCTATGGCGCTGTGGACTAATCGATAAAAGAAACACTGGTTCATTTCTGTCTTTTATTTGTTATCATATATTTTCGTTGTCCTATGCTTGGATGACCGCACTTTTCCTCTGCGATCTACATCTGACTTTATGTTCCCGCAGTATTTGAAACCCTCTCCTCAGATCTACGACCGCAGGACTCTCCAGTCATGAAGCCGTCCGCCGTACATACTCACGCCTGCCGCTACACCATGACCAAAGGCTGATGAGTAAGCAGTTTCTGTGAGATTCATAGAGCAACACACACATGCTTAAAGAGGAGAGGAGGGGGTAAAGGAGAGATTGCGTCAGGACTGCGGTGGACTTCACTGCATCCTGCATGTGATCCGACTGTAATGTTCTTCCCGCATCTGCACTTCCTCACAGCTGCCAACCGGACACAACATCTCACACAAAATATACAAATGCCGTCAATCAAAATGGACTATTTACTTGCTTACTAGACATTTCTGATCGTTCAATCCCGATGCTTGTTATTCCAAATGAAAATACTGTTTTTGTCATTTTTATCAAAATGTGCTTACTTTGTTTACCAAAACTAAAACTACTAAGAACTACTAGTTTACTAAAGATAATAATTTGTCACTTGAAATGTTAACTGAAAAATGTTAAATTGAAACTTCTTTTATTTCAGCAAGTTGCCAACACAACATTTCTCATTTTTAAGTAGTTTAACTTGATTAAATTTAAATAAAAATGTATTTTAAAAAATCCTAAAAATAACTCAAATTAAATTTAATAAAAATTATACAGACAATAAAAACTTACACTTACTAGACATTCCTGGTCATACTATCCTGGGGTTTGTTATTCCAAATTAAAATATATTTTTTTGTAATCTTTATCAAAATGTTAAGAAAAAAATTTAAAACTACTTGTTTACTAAAACTAAAACCATTTAAATATAAATAAATAAATAAAATGTATTAACTTGAAATAAAATAAATGTTAACTGATATAAAATCAAATTAAAAAAATTTTAAATTTTCTTCCAGCTAGTTATTTCAGCTAGTTGCCATTTGTCAAAACTGAAATAACAATCGATAAAAACTATACTAGCCATTTAAAAAATAAATAAATACTAGACGTCGAACAATCCTTATGCTTGTTATTCCAACTGAAAATCTTTATAAAAATGTAAAACTACCAAAACTAAAACTCCTAAAATTACTTGTCTGCTAAAACTACAACCATTAAAAAATGT